TTCTTTTTAAAAGTTTTTAAAACTGATCAACACACTTGTTTTACACTGTACTGATGGTACCTCACTGAAGAGGGGATTATAACTAAATGACCATTAGTACAGTTTGGTTTGAATATAGACAATTTTTGAAGAGTTCTGTTTCATTTTTAATAGCAGAACAGAGTGAGAGAGGGACAGACTACCTCCAATGACTCTCACCACTGAAAAACTGTCTTAAATCCAGATTAAGTAACAGTGTGGGTTAAATTTAATTATCTCAGTTCCTAGTTGACAACAAATTAGCATGACAGACAGTCTGAACTCAAGAGAGCCCGAACATTTATTTAAGCAATGAGCATAGCCACCATTCTCTCTCCCCCATTAATTTCCAAAGTGATCAGCCCTTCCAGGCAAGGGATGAGGTGCATTGCTTTAGCAGAAAGTGATAAAGAGGGGGAGAAATAAAAGAGAGGAAGACCAAAAATACAAAGAAAGAAAACATACTCAAAAGGTGCCTTGATTTGCAAAAGCTATCTTAATTTGTTAGGTCAAACAAGTTTATTGGCACAGTTTGCAAAATCCTACAACAGTTAAAATGATTACAACTTTTATGAGCAATTAGCTGTTCACATATAGCATAAATATAACTGTCTGTATAAGTTAAACTGTGCCTTAGAACTAAAAAAAGAGTGAGCAAACTTGAACCCCAAAAGACAGAGGCAGATCCTCAGCTGGTGTGCACTGTCAATGCTCTAGTGACTTCAATGGATCTATGTCAATTTATCAGGTGAGGATGTGCCCCTGAATTTGTACAACAGACCTGGCCATTTCAGCTAGTGACAAATAAATAGACCAACAAGGACAGGCAAACAATTTGACAATAAATTTCAAACCACAAGGAATAATTCATGGACACCCATTGCTGATTTTAAAAAATAAATAAATAAAATAAGACATCCTGTTATCACAATTTAAGCTACTGTGTGCAGAAACCAATTATTTCTTCAAAATTATCAGTATCTGATCTTAGTCACAGTTTAATTTCTTCTCCCGTCAAACATACTAAATGCTACACATTATGCTACAACTTCTGACCCATCTGCAAATTCAAACTAAAGCTGGGGCCACTAGTAACCCTTTAGTTTAAAGGTTCATCAACTTTTCATTGAAGATATATGGAACTGTTATAGAAATGTCAAACATACTCAAGTCTTTTTGAATGGAATCCTTTTGCAAACTGGCAAATACATACCCTTCCCTATTTTGGATACATAATTTGTAAAAGGGTATTTCAGAGTTTCAAGTGGTATCAATTCACTCATTGTGCCAAACATGACATCACAACTACTTGCTACACAACTGTCAGAGTCTGCTCAAGACAGGTTTTGCTCAGGCCACCAAAATGGAATAGAGGGGTACCGCAGGTCAGAATTAATATGCACTGATATAACTAATCAGGAAAAGTTGCGCATCATATTTGGTTACCATATTTGGTTCAAGTCACTTGCCATTACTAAGCATGGAATTCATTCAAAGAACTTTAATATTTTGTTTAATTAAAACAGGAAACTTTTTTTTTATGCACAAACTATAAATTCTTTGGACAAAAGCCAAGTTCCAAGTTAAGGTTGTTTTTCCATCTCATTATTTTTTTTAATGTAGGTATTACATGATGATAACTTATAAATTAAAATTACTCTAGGATACATAATAATTTTTGATAAGCTAACATGCTTCCAGCAACAATTCAAAACTTCTGTGGGTTTAGGATAGAGCTTAACTATTTTGTGTGGGGGACTTGAATACTGACATGAACTTGGTCAGTGAGAAAACAAGTGTACTTTCCTTCAAAGCCCTAATTCTTTTCCCCTCTATTAAATTACCTCTGTTCTTAAAATACATGCTTCTAATTGTATGCTCAAACCAACCTTCAGTTTCAATCGTCACATAGCAAAATTACAATTCACTCAGAATCTTCATTAAAAAGTCTGCTCTATTACTTCAATCAGAAATAAAATTTAAAGTATCTCTAAGGTATAATTTAAGGTAGAATCTAATACATTGGTATCCAATTGCCACAATTTAATTTAGTGTTTTATTCCAAACTATTAAACAATAGATTTCTTACCTCATCATTGATAACCTCAGATTGTTCTTCCTCTTCCTCCTCCTCAAGGTCCAAGTCATTTTGCCTCAGGTATGCTTGTAATGGAACACAGTGTTTCTTCTTAAAAGCTAAGAAGTCCATCATATTCCCTTGAAGATGTTGCAAGAAAAATAGTTCAATCAAATATTCCTTAAAAGTCTCCCTCAGAATCTCCATCTGTTTGTGGTGATGATCCAAACACTGCTTTCTCATCTGAGCAGCTTCTTGGGTGGCAGGCGGAATCTCCTCCAACTTTTTAGGTTGTTTTTTCACTCCTGTACTTACCGTAGGAGTAAGAGGAAGATTAGACAGACCCTGTGGTACAGTGGCTCGTGAAGGGCTCGTAGGAGGGGGTGGTGATGTCATTCCAAAAGCAGGTGGTCCTCCAACTCCAGCTATTAATCCACCAGAAGCCCTATCAAATCCTATGGGTCTGCTCAACTGCTGCCCTTGAAGTGCTTGCTGCTGCTGCATGAGCTGCCCTTGAATAATATTGCTGATCTGCGGTGGCAAGTTAGTAGTTGTAATATGACCGGGGCTAGTCAATGGTTGCATGTTTGCTCCACTAGCTACAGGACTTTGAGGTCCAAGATGATGAATGGTGCCACCAGTCTGTGAATGAGGTTGTGAAAGCCTGCGTTCTCGTACAGTTGCAGGTGCCCCAGAAGATGGAATTTGTACCTGTGCTGTAGTTCCTTGAGCAATTTGTGCAATTCCGGATCCTTCTTGATATACAAAGTGTCCACCATTTGAAGGGCTCAGACTGATCTGTCGCACAAGCAAACTAGCATCTACAAATCCTCTAGTAGGGCTCTGGCTGCACATACCCAAGCCAGAACCTGGAGTGCCTGCCCGAACATTTGGTAGTGACTGCACTGGTACAGGACTGGGTTGTGTAGGGCTTTGAGACTGAACCTGCTGGGGCAATGGTGAAGTAACTTGAATATACGATGGAGATCCATGCTCAAACCTCCTTTGCTGAGGGCTAAACTGAAAATTTGGTGATGTTGGATTTGGTATTGGCAAAGGGGTAAGTGTTATCTGTTGGTTTCCTGATGCTACCGGTCCAACATTCTGCAGTGTGATGTTCACATTCTGCCCAGTTACCGGACTTCTACTCATTATAAACTGCTGTATTTGGTAACTGGGGGACTGTGGTGCAGACGGGCTTGCAGAAGGAGCAAATGAAGTTGCAGGGGACTGCGGTAAGTTTGTCTGCTGCTCTTCTCCCTCACTACCTGTGAAGGATCTGGACCTCTGGAGCTGACGCTGAACATTCTGAGGACCGTTCCCATGGTGCATTTTCACCTTTTTGGTTTTTTAAAGTAAATTCTAAAGGAATACATAAAAACAGAAATTTAGTGACGCTAACTTTTTTGGGGTAACGGAATGTTAGAAGATAGACATTTGAGTAAGAATGTAGAAGTTTTTCTGCCTCAAAATTAGGAACACATTCTACCATTAGAGTTAATTAAAACAATAACCTTCATGCAATCATTCAAAATATGGATGGTCTGAAACACAACCACCCCAACTATATTTACTATCTAAACCTCTGATACGCTTCTCTAACCGTCTAAGACATTCTGGAATAACCCACAGCAAGATGGTAGTACAAGGCATATGTTCCTCTTTTGACCAACCAAGCTGAGATGAAAGTTAAAAGGCCGCTTTCTCCTTCCAGTTGCTGTGGAAGATCCACAAGAAATGAAGGCTCCTTATCTAATTTGGCTAAACAACATTATCTAAAGTGAAAAATGTTCTGGTTTTCAAGTTATTTGGCATTCTAGTGTAGTACAATCTCACTGATGTGCACTGACAGGGAGACTGATTGCCAAAGACTGGGCACTGCAAATTAGCAGGAGAATCAAAAGAAAGCTAATATTTCAAAAAACCTACCTTGCTCATTTATTTTGAAAACTGCAGTTCCATTTCTAATACTTCACTGCATACAAATATGTTGGTCTATAGTGTGCCAAACCTCTTCACTCCCCCGTTTCTTGTCATGGTTGCTGGCTAGTTTAAATCTAAACTCCTAGGAACAAGGAGTTGTTATATTAATTTGTCTGTCAAACACTAATCATGCTTGGCAATCTACAAATAAGTGAAAATGCACAATCAACCCTTGATAATGAGACCTCATCAGCACACCCCGCTATTAACCTCCTGGCTGGAAAGCGGGAAGGGCGATTACCCTTTGAATTATGGGCTCGAGCGGTGCTCCCGTAACACGAATTACTTCAGGCAAGTGAATCCTGATTTCTCAGAACTCCCAGTTTTAACAGGTTGCAATGCGGCCCCACGCCCGGACGGAAACCGAGACCTGTCTGTAGAGACCGGCCCCGGATAGCCCCGAGACTGGCGGAGCAGGCGAGTGTTCACGTCCCCCCCAATCATCATCACACGGCTCGCCGCCGCCAGCGCAAAGCGGGAGGATGCTGCTCAGCGGGGAGCCGTGGGGGCGGGGTGTGAATTTCCCTTTACACTCAACTCCTAACGGCCCCGGGAATTCCCAGGAACCCTCCTCCCCGGTCGCCCGCGGCGGGGCAGGAGCAGAGACCAAGGCCCGCGCCGCAGCCTCCCCCCGCGGGTGGGACGGGTGCCCCGCAGCCCGGGCCCGGCCGCAGCCCCGGGCCTGCTCGGCTCCGCGGACGGAGCGGGGCGGAGGGGAGCCCGGCACCCTCCGCTCCGGCACCCCCGGCGGGGACCCACTTACCCCAGCAGCCGGGGCCGCACTTTCCCTTCCCTCCTCACAGGAAGCTGGGGGCCGTCACCGGGGGGGGGGGAAACACATCCGCTACGGGCGCTGATAGGAGACAAACGGCGAATTCCGTTCCTGCACCGAGACTCCCGCACTGCGTATGCGCAGTGGCTCGAACCGAACAGCGGGAGCAGCAGGATTGCGCTAGGGGCAGCGGGCAGCGTAGCGGATGTGTCCGGCCCCCCAGCTTCCTGGGAGGAGGGAAGGGAAAGTGCGGCCCCGGCTCCTGGGGTAAGTGGGTCCCCGCCGGGGCTGCCGAGCTCCCCTGCACCCGTCCCACGCGAGGAGCGGGCCTTGGTCTGGGGATTCCCGGGGCCGTTTGAAAAATGGAGCCTACATTTCTCCTGGATCTTCCACAGCAACTGGAAGGAGAAAGCGGCCTTTTAACTTTCATCTCAGCTTGGTTGGTCAAAAGAGGAACATATGCCTTGTTCTACCATCTTGCTGTGGGTTATTCCAGAATGTCTTAGACGGTTAGAGAAGCGTATCAGAGGTTTAGATAGTAAATATAGTTGGGGGGGTTGTGTTTCAGACCATCCATATTTTGAATAATTGCATGAAGGTTATTGTTTTAATTAACTCTAACGGTAGAATGTGTTCCTAATTTTGAGGCAGAAAAACTTCTACATTCTTACTCAAATGTCTATCTTCTAACATTCCGTTACCCCAAAAAAGTTAGCGTCACTAAATTTCTGTTTTTATGTATTCCTTTAGAATTTACTTTAAAAAACCAAAAAGGTGAAAATGCACCATGGGAACGGTCCTCAGAATGTTCAGCGTCAGCTCCAGAGGTCCAGATCCTTCACAGGTAGTGAGGGAGAAGAGCAGCAGACAAACTTACCGCAGTCCCCTGCAACTTCATTTGCTCCTTCTGCAAGCCCGTCTGCACCACAGTCCCCCAGTTACCAAATACAGCAATTTATAATGAGTAGAAGTCCGGTAACTGGGCAGAATGTGAACATCACACTGCAGAATGTTGGACCGGTAGCATCAGGAAACCAACAGATAACACTTACCCCTTTGCCAATACCAAATCCAACATCACCAAATTTTCAGTTTAGCCCTCAGCAAAGGAGGTTTGAGCATGGATCTCCATCGTATATTCAAGTTACTTCACCATTGCCCCAGCAGGTTCAGTCTCAAAGCCCTACACAACCCAGTCCTGTACCAGTGCAGTCACTACCAAATGTTCGGGCAGGCACTCCAGGTTCTGGCTTGGGTATGTGCAGCCAGAGCCCTACTAGAGGATTTGTAGATGCTAGTTTGCTTGTGCGACAGATCAGTCTGAGCCCTTCAAATGGTGGACACTTTGTATATCAAGAAGGATCCGGAATTGCACAAATTGCTCAAGGAACTACAGCACAGGTACAAATTCCATCTTCTGGGGCACCTGCAACTGTACGAGAACGCAGGCTTTCACAACCTCATTCACAGACTGGTGGCACCATTCATCATCTTGGACCTCAAAGTCCTGTAGCTAGTGGAGCAAACATGCAACCATTGACTAGCCCCGGTCATATTACAACTACTAACTTGCCACCGCAGATCAGCAATATTATTCAAGGGCAGCTCATGCAGCAGCAGCAAGCACTTCAAGGGCAGCAGTTGAGCAGACCCATAGGATTTGATAGGGCTTCTGGTGGATTAATAGCTGGAGTTGGAGGACCCAACTCTGCAGGCCCGCACCGCAGCTTCTCCCCGCGCATGGGATGGGTGCAGGGCGGAGGGGAGCCCAGCACCTCCCACTCTGGCACCCCCGGAGGGGACCCACTTACCCCAAGAGCTGGGGCCACACTTTCCATTCCCTCCTCACAGGAAGCTGGGGACTGTCACTGGGGATGAGGGAAAATACATCTCTTACGGGCGCTGATAGGAGACAAACCGCGAGTTCCGTTCCTGTACTGTGACTCCGTCACTGCGTATGCGCAATGGCTCAAACCAAACAGTGGGAGCAGCAGGATTGCGCTAGGAGTAGGGGGCAGGTCGCCCCATATGCGTGTCCTGTCTTTGGCATGCTAGGGAGGACAGCCAGGAACCAGGATCCTCATCCTTGCTAATCATATCACCCGCTCAGAGTGACTGGAGTGACAGAGCAGGGCAGGGACACAACACAGAGAGCAGTGGGGCGGGAGAGGATCCCCTCAGGATGGAGTTCAGCATAGGGCACATTAGCAAGCCCTGAGAGATTTTCTACACAGACCCCATACCCACCCTCCAGAGGCATTTAAAGCAGGGCCACCCAAGCTGTGTGCTGGGAATGTCCACAGGGGGTCAGAGGGGAAAGAATCTTAACCCAGGCCACACACTTTGTTAACAGCGTACATGAGAACATGAGACATGCACAGAGGTGAAAGTTAGCTGGTACGGTCCAGTACGGCATACTGGCAAAAGCCAGTATGCCGCACCGGACCAGACCGGCTTCCCCGGTGGTGATTTAAAGGGCCCGGTGCTCCTGCCACTGTGGGGAGCCCCGGGTCCTTTAAATCACCTCCGGAGCTCCAGCAGCGGGGCTTTAAAAGGCCTGGGGCTCCCCGCAGTGGCAGGAGCACCGGACCCTTTAAATCCCTGCCTGAGCCTGACTGCTGGAGCCCCAGGGCTCCGGCAGGGATTTAAAGGGCCCAGAGCTCTGCAGCAGCCGGAGCCCCAGGCCCTTAAATTTGCCCTGGGGCTCTCAGCCGCCTCTGCAGTCGGTAGCTCCGGGGTGATTTAAAGGCCCCAGGGCTCCCAGCCAGAGTCCCGGGGCCTTTAAATCACCTCTTCCGGTTGAGGCCATGCCCCCTTTAAGTTACTTTCACCCCCAGACACGCACAAAGAAACAGGACAGAAAGAAGGCAATTTATATAAAAAAAGAAAGGACACTTTATTGTTCAACTTGCACTCGGTTTAGGCAGTATATCAGTGCTCACTGAATTCCTACTTTACAGCACTAAAGATTCATCTAAAAATTTAGTTTGCATTTTGTTTCCATACACCTAACAGGACACCTATTCAGTTCCGTAGCTCTAACAAAAAAAAGCCAGCAGTTTTCACTGTTATGCATTCCATTTAGTGCAACACTCCACAAGTAAAATGTACTTCTGTTTAAAGAATAACTGGATATTATTTGATATTGTTCTGGAGACAATAGCCTAGTACAACGATGAACATGTTGATTACACCTCTGTCTCTGTAATTTAGTTATTCACTGCTTTGGTACAGAAAGATGGTTATTTTCTGTCAGCAGAAAGCATTTCATTTTAACAGACCTTTTATCTGTACATTACAATTAATATATTTTCAATGTTGAGTACATTTTTCTTTTTTCAGATTTCAGTAATAACTTCTCTTGCATTTATGTCTGCAAAAAAGTGCTCGAGTCTTCATTTGGAAAATAATGTGGACAACCTGCGGATTTTATTGTCATGGTTTAGCAAATATAAAATACTGTACTTTTCTGCTTATTCTAATGTAATCATTAGTTCAACAAGGTTTCATAGATGCTTTCACGGTATGAAAGTAGATAATCTCCTGTGCACTTTTACTTGCTAATTTTGGTTGAGACTGCTGAGTTCTGTACACCTGGGGTCAGTGAATGGAGAGAGACTATTGTCAGGACCTGTTCCTCTATTGATTTCTGGGGGATCAACTGAGCTGTAGCCATTGCTGCAGAAATCATTTAGGCGTGGTGACCTGCAGGTGGTGACTGGGACACTGCCGCAGTTTGTGACTGAGCCTGAACCTAAATTATAGATGAAGGTAAGTTACTAGCTGATTGTACATTTTACACAGTCAAAAATGTGAAACAAAGGTAAGAGATGGCAGAAACTCTGGAGAAGCCAGAGACTAAGAATGTAACTGGAAGTCAGGAGAATGAAATGCTGTTCCCAAACATGATACTGATTTACTGTGTGGTTTTGGCCAAATCACTTAATTTCTCTGTAATCAGTTTTGCCATTTATAAAATAAGAGAAATGAGACCAAGATTCTTGGAGTTAATAAGGATAATATTATTTTGCACTTATGTAGCACATATCTGGGGATTTCAAAATCACCTTACAAACATTAATTCTCAGAAAACACCTGTGAGGTGAGTAATGCTTTCATTTTACAGATAAGAAGATACTCATAGAAAGATTGATTTGCTCCAGGTTACAGAACTGATCAGTGGCCGAGCTGACAACAGAACCTTGGAAAACCCAATTTTTAAAAAATCCTTAGCAGGTCACTTGAAGGAGAAGATCATCACTAGTATCTGGCTTACGGACGAGCAAAGTAGTAGTGATGCAAAACTGTCAAAACAACACTGAAAAGCATATATCATTTGAATGAGACAGCAGGCAAAGGTGCTTACCTTTTCTACACAGTAGCTTGGCCTTGAACCATCTGGGAATGAATGGCTCTGTTGCTGAGCTACTTGATGTGTAAGTTTTGGAAACTGATGGACATGTACATCCAATGTCTGGGCTCCTGCAAATCGGCAGTAAAATAAGGTGCAAATGTTAGTATTTAGAATGTAACACACATTTATTCTAAGAATATCATCAAAATGTCTACCTTTTCCTATTATATTTCTATCTAACCGTATATATTATTGTGATATAAAATTTAGTTTCGGACAGGATTTGACAAAAGTCCACTTCCAATGGCAAACAGGACATTTTTCTAGTCTTGCCTACAAATTCCAGTATGCAAAATTAGATACATTCTAGAAATATAAAAATAAATGGAAGGACTATCAATTATTACTAATCAAATATTACTACAACTTACAAAGTTACTTTGCAACCATATATATTGTTTAAAAGGGTGCTTTCAATAAGAGTCTTCTAAAAGCACCAAAAAAGTAGGAAAAATATTAGTCTATGCTATAAATTTAGTAACCTAATTTAAAAACCTTTAAAATTTAAGTGTCAAAGTGGTTCTGAAGTCCAATTAATTTAATAAATTGGAAGAAATTTATAAGATTGCCTCTGAGTGAGATTTCTTTGTACCTGCTGCTTTCTGTGGATGCCCAAGGGCAACGGCAATCTCAGTGACAGAGATCTCAGTAAGAGGGAGTGTTGCAGCTCCTGCAGATGGTACAATTGTTGGTGGAACAGACATCACTGGAAGATTTGCCTGAGGAACTTGTGCTGCCTGAGGTGTTTGGATCTGGATCTGTCCTTGTGCTTGAAGCTGGGAAGCAGAAACAAGAATCTGAGCAGCAAGGAATCAGGATCAAAGAATATTAGTTGTTTTTCACTAGATCTTTGCAACATGACAATTATATGTTCAGAACCTGAATATAAAAGCTTTATCTAATCCACTGGAATCATTTTACATCTAGCTCTGTTGTGTTTGGGACCTTTTGGGGTTTTTTTAAATACGGTACACTTGAGGTTTGTAACAGTGGTGCTAGTCATGGTAACAGTGAGGGCTGCTCCAGGCCCAAATGCTGTTGACTGCAGGGAGCTGCTAATGTTGCAGTTCTTGCTGACAGGTCAGTTGCAATTTCTATTCTGTACTAACATTTAATTTTCCCACTTCTGCTGCACATATGATTTGTGCAAAGGTTTTCAGGTTCTGAGATAAAGATTTCATTCAATTATGGTTCTCTATCCTATTTAATTTAATAATAAAAATACTTTACACTTCTATAGTACCTTCCATCAGAAGTTCTCAAAGCACTTTACAGTTAATACTCACATCCCCTTGCTTAAAGGTAAATAAGTAATAATATCCTCATGCCATGCATGGGTAAGCTGAGATTCTAAATTGCTGTGGTGACTTGCCCCAGATATCACAGTGAGGGGCTGAGTTATGAAGAGAACCTTAGGAATCTGGGCATCTTGTCTCCTGTTCTAATCATTAGAGCACATTTAATGAACTATACTCAAACACTGTAACATCTTCAGATGAAGTGGGAAAGTACAGTTTTCTGAACAGCAGAGGACTTACTGAAAGAAAGTGTGTAATGCCAGTCAACAGTGAACCCTGTGACTAAGTAGGAAGAAATGTTGATTAACTTAGAAGCATTATGTTCATTATGTAGAAACATCATGAAAGCAGGCAAAGGAGGGCAGCTTAAAGTAATCAATGGGCATTCTCAAAAGTTCAGCCAGAGAAGAACAAAACCTCCAGCTCCACCCTTCCAGGCAAAATCAAGCTGGGGGGGGGTCTTGAAAATCTGGTCACCAGAAGCATCAAACTGGCATGAATGCTCATGGTTTAAAACCATATAAACTACAAACAGTACAACAAAAATTTCCCACCAATTCCTTTTCTGTTGGCGAAGAAATACTAAGGAAAGGATTGGAGACATGTTTTTCTTAAAACATCCGTTCCTTGTAAGAGCTTTCCTACACTTTTTATTTGGACTGGAGTCTAAGGCTACATCTGCAGTACAAGCTAACGGCATGATTCCCCTGCTCATGTACACGCACTCACACTAGCTCTCATTCAACTAGTGCAAGTGTATATAGCAGTGTACTTTGTGCCTAGTACAAACCCTAGTAGGTATGTACTCATCACAGCTAAGCTGTGTCTCCACTGCTGCTACCAGTGCTATTTACACTCACACTAGCTCAATGAGAGCTCACGAGTATGTGTACAAGCCCAGGAATCACACGCCTAGCTTGTAGTGAAGATGTACCCAAAGTGTGTACCTGGGACTGAATCCGTGGGACTTGCACCTCAACTGCTTCTGTCTCCTGCTGCCCAGGAAGCTGGAAATGGACAGGTGTGACTGTTTTACTAAAAAGCTGAACTTCTGTTGGCTTGGCTATAAAAGGAAAAATATAGAAGACAATCTCTCATCAGAGTGTAAACTGACATTCTTCCCCTCCCATCTTCTTTTACTTAATAATTTGAAAATAACTAACACTTAAAATGCAAGTTTCTAGCAGTTTTATTTTCAGCAGCAGAATGTGAAAAAAACAGCGGTTACCTGACATAACCTGAGCCACTAAGGGCGTTTGGGTCTGCCATGTTGTCAGACTGGTGGTTACTATCGATGATGCTGCCACAGACATTCCTGCTTGAGAACCCTGAGTAGATGTTACAGTCACTAATTCTGTTGGAGCACTGGATGCTGCAGCTCTTTGTACCTGAGCTGTACTTGCACCTCCTGAAGCCTAGAAAGTGTTACACAAAGTAACAAAGTATCATGGTCAATTTATTCTAGAATATAAGGTGGTTGGTTTTTTTAAATATACAATACAAAGCATGATGTTTGACACATGCGCCTAGAGCCTGAGATAGACACAGTGAACAAGTATGAATGAATGAATAAATAAGTACATTTGATCTGTTCTTTGTGCTGAATGACATTTTCCATATAATAAAATCTAGCATGGGATAAAGACACAGGAATCTTGTCCATATTAATTATTTGACACCAATTTACACCTTTGAACAGCAAGGCTGTAATATTTAAGAGTTCAGAAGCAAAGGACAATATTTATCAGAATTTTCAATGGAAAATGCTAATTTTTTAGTGCAGGTGGCCTGTGACTGACCCAGCCAAAAGTTAACTAAAAGAATATACACCATCTCCAACCAGGGGGATTTTAGAGAACTCAAGACTGTGTACTCTGTTCGGCCGGGAATAATTAGCTGAACATTTCAAAGCTTTTTCAAAATGATATTGCTACACACAACAGCAAAAATGGATTGCTTCTGTACTGTTTCACAGATTTGAAATTTTCACTTAAAAAAGGGTACTGTTCATGCACTGTGTCTAATAACTACATTTAAAGGGTTTTATAAAGTAAATGTTTTTAAATTAACACTAGTGTTTCATTCACTTATTATCTCTTTTCCTATCATGTTGGATGTATCCCTGACTGGTGGAGATTAAAACCTCACAAGGGACTAGACTGGATGATCTAATAGGCACTTCTGCACATCTAACTGATTTGATCTGAGTTTAGAGCATCATCAACTTTCTCAGTTTAAGTGAAGACAAATGCACCTTTCTCGCCCAACCTGCTCATGCAACACAACACAAAGGGCCCAATCCTGCAATCAGATTTGCTAGCGCAGACTCCTGCAGCTATGTGGCACGCCACTGAAGTCAACTGAACTCTGTAAGGCCATAGGGATCAAGGCTTGCTAATCCAGTTGCAGGGCCGGGACCTAGAAGAGTGCATATCTCTGCACATATTAAGTGGAAAGATCCAAATTTCAGCTTTAGAGATATTTAGTTTCAACTAATCCTGCCAGGTTGGCTACCACAGTCTTTACTACTAACTGTGGCTGTTGCACCATCAGTTGTTCTTGTGGCTGAAGCTGGGCTTCTGCTTGCTGTTCAGCTAGCTGCTGCATTTAGAGTTAGCAAGCACACTGCTGCTGAGGCTCTGGGCCTGTCTGCTGTTCGGTCAAAGCCTAAAACAATAGGAGGTGGGGAAAATATTAATTGTTGCTACCTTT